GAGAGACAGTGAGAACACTGATTCAATCGGTAATCTCATTTAACGGGGGCAGCAGATTTGAGGAGTCCAGTATTTAACACCGTTTGCCTCGTGATGCTTAGCCTTTGTATAACAGCATCCGACTGTTAGCCTGGCCATCCCGTGGTCCGTTGGTTTAAAACAATGATGTAAAATGCTTTCAAAGTACGGGGTTGTAAGCCCTGGTTGAATAACCGACAAAATCGGAAACAATATATTTCCGGAGCTTTGAAACAACGGTGTTGTGTACATTTCCGATTGGAAAATAACTGCCCATATCGTTTTTAATTTCAAATTCGGGCATTTTTACTATTCTTGTTCCGTCCCTTGCACACAGACACACACACACACAAATCAGAAGTGTTAGGTGTTCCATTCAGTGCCGATAGCGTCCCTTGGTGAAGCCAGTAGAAGTGTCTGTTGCATGACAAGTACCAGAAATCTGAACGTTTTTGGCATTAACATTGTCTGAGGCATACCACGGGAAATTTTCGACTGGAAAACAGGTGGGCTTAAAAGTGTTTCTCGCACCATAGAACATAGAACCGGCCGTTCTCTCCCCCCCCCAGCCCTCGTCCCCGTGTTACCCTACCCAGCTTGATGGAATGTAATCCCCAGACAGTAGTAAAACATGGCTCAGTACCATAAAACCAGATTGAACGACGTGGTGAAAGCCCAACCGGGTTCAGCTACTTTTCCCGAAAGGTCTGATTAGTGGACACCACCTGACTGGGCGGAAAGTTTTCACTGTTCTTGCGTCTCATTACGATATTGGTTTCAGTGGGACCTGTGGTCTTCACCCTATGTACAGTGGGTTAAGATGATGATCATATTGCGGTCTAATTTGTCCGCCGGTTGGCAAAACCTAATGGGTTAGTGCACATTGGTTTACCAGTAAGATCACGAGGTCATTAGTCTTGTCAACCTAGCTAAATTTATAGATTTGGGATAGCTCAGATTTTGTCTCCAATTCTTTCTTAATACTAAGCACTTGCTTGTTAGAATTGATTGAACTTATTTGCGAGCTAGAAACTTGTGGGATTTTCAACCACTAGATGAACAACAGAGAGAGGTAAGTGGTGACCAGCACCCACGTGACACAGAAAGGGTTACATCATGTCTACGGGCAAAATTGTGAGGCAGTGAGTGGTTATTCGTTCTCATTAGGAAGTCGTTCCCCAATGAGTCCTACCTGATGCAATGCCATATTCTAACCTGCTGTTCTGAGTACACAAAGATGCACATAAGTAGGCTAAAGGACCACAAATCGAACAATGATAATAGTACAGCCGCATCATGCGAAGCATTAGACACATTACGCGTGTGGCTAATAAGGAAAGAGGCGGAGCAAGAGACGGATACCGTTTTTCATTTGATGAGAATAACTACATCGTTAAGTAATTCTGCGCTACTGTTGGTTACGGTTGCTGCATAGTGTTGCGAATCCAGTGAAATCTTGTTACAAAAGTAAGTACTTTGTGAGAACTAACTCGCTTTGGTCTCCTGGAACTATATATCTATAGAAATCACATTACTCAGTGAGGAAGGAGGGAAGTGAGTAAGACAACCGGATCTATTATTTTGTTCTCTTCATTCGATGCACGCGCGCCCGTGCCTGCGCCCAGAGACCCACGTGACTGACAAGCAGCTGGTTTGACGTGCCGCTCACGATAGTATCGGGTCAACCAGTGTTTGACTGACTACTCTCCGATTTGGCTGTCAGATAGCAGCTACGGGTGCATTTGAACTATCTTCTTGTCTTAAAACCAGATACCAGAAAGCGAAACAGATCAAACACACATAGCCAACGCAGCCGCACTGGGTCTCGTGCGTTACACGGAACGAGTGTTGTTCTACTCTTCCGTGAGCGTGAATGGTAACTCGGTTGTATATTTTTTCACCTGTCGCCTTACTTTTCAGAGACGAATAAGTAATTTACGTAGAAAATGGGAGGTCTGATCATTCGCGTTCGTTCACCGTAGACGAAAGGGCATTTGCTCATTTCCCACTGATCGATTTTAGGTGGTTCCCTTTTTTACTGGGTACGAGCCTTACTTCTTGAATTTGCGTTAATTACCCGCTCCCTTCAAATACGTGACGGGTCCCTCCAGAGATGTGAAACAGCTGTTCTATACAGTTTTAAAAAATATAGGAAGTCATCCAAAATCATAAATACGAGAATATGCATAGTAGTTTTAGGTTATCCGCATATATCAGCGGTATACATTGAATGAAAACGCAGTTTAGCGAATAAGCTTTTTTTAATCGGCTTTGATTTGCAACCTCGAACACGGTGGACAGACCGAAAAACTTCGGCTACACTCATTGTGTGATCGAATTCGACTAGGTGTGAAACGATGGCACTCGCAAGTTTTAGGTTGATAATGAACGACTGTGGGCTGCCACTTCAAGGTATCAGGTGTCATTTCTCAAAATTTAATGATCTTGAATGGATCCTGTGGTAAATAATGCTTCACTGACTTGAAATCATCCACGGGACCCTGCTTGTACAGCATTGTCTTGTTGTTCGTATTGCCAAATCCCATGTGTTTGTATTCTGTGGCCGCTGTGAAAAATCGGTTTGTTTACACCACTTACAATAGGCAAAACAGAGTTAAAGGTTCGTTTCCAAACCTGTTTCGTTGAATTTACGACGTTTTTGAAAGGCACATTCGGTAACCCGTCATACACTGATCGATCATTTATATTGAAGTTATCTAGAACAGAATGAGAACAATCCGTGAAAGCGTGAATACAAATCGCATGAAATGAAATTCCCCAGATACGCAACGGAAAACTGTATTATCGGGGTAGTTATCCAGATTTATCAGTTTCCCGTCGATCACAATGTATCAAACTCCCAAAGGCAGGATTATCAAACTCATCTGTGCGAGATCATCCGGGGTAGAGGATTGGTCCGAGACATACATATGTTCTACCATATCGCATATGAACATAGTTTAACAACGGTCTACCTGGTGGCCGGTTTGTGCGTAATGCTATCGGTTTGACTCGTAGTTGGGACGATGGTTTACCCCCACGCTGTTGAGTCCCAAAACGTTTCCAACCACGGGACAGTGAGAAATAACAGCACTTCAGATTGCACTTCTTTTGGTTTGTATTCCATGAATGTATTCGCTTACGTGAATGTAATTCACTGTTGTCTTCTTGTAAAAATATGAATTTAGTAAAATATATTTCAAAAGTGAAAGAAAGAGTCCAAACTGATCGGTGAACCAAACTTTACTTTGTAAATCAGATAAACGAGGAGAACACGGTTGGACCGTGCACTCCCACAGGGCTCAATCCACTTTGATTGGTTCTATTTGGTACGCGACGTAGATCGATTCTTCATTACCGTCGGATGCAGGCAGCATTTATACAATCAAGATAATCTGAAACCCCTCCATATCCTTTCTATTCAAAGTATATACGAGTTCACGGAATTTGTTCTTCCGTAACGGCCGCGTTTGGTGATCATAGTAACGAGCCTGAACATCCTACATACCTATGTTACTATTTGTGTGCGTTTATGCACATTTTAAAGAACTCAACGCAACAGGACAAAACTTTGCTCACTAATTAATCTATACCTGTGGTTACCAGTTTGGATTTTTGAAATTCGCATATAAGTANCTCGGATTCCAGAGGCACCTGCTTGTGGACGATCCACTCATTGTGGATCTGCATGTCTTGTTTGGTGACAGAGACAAAAGTTCTCCCAAAAGTTCTCTGTAAAAATAAACAACAACCTTCAAACAGCTATCAAATACATGTAATTTAAAAAGCATTTTATCAGAAAGATTGTATCTGGTTGGTGCTTTCCATAATCTTCTTTGTCTGGTAAACTCATACGACAATAGTTGTGTATGAATAGTGCTGGTGGATAACGGTGAATACGGTTATTAGGGTAATGGGGCTTGAGTTGATTCGGCAATATGTAGTATGCACCGGAAGACCATTGAACAGAGCTTTTAGAGATGTAATTCAATCAGGACTATCGATCAGTTATAAAGCATAATAGTTTCCCTGCATCTACTTAGAGTAAATTTTGTTTCTCAATGCACTGTTTGACCAAAAAACTTAATACAACTATTTAAATATTTAACCTTGAAAAAAGATAAATCAAAACCGGTAGAGCTCGCTAATTTTGCCTGTGTTTCTTTTTTATCGGAAATCCCGTTGTTTCAGATAAATTATTTTCATGAGATTACGTCATCCAGATGACTTTCATGATCGTTTGTCAAATCAGTGGACAAAAAAACTCCAATACCTCCAAGCACCACATTGAAAGAAACCCAGTCTGATTACTCCTTTCCCCTTAAACAAAATAGCCATACTTTTAGACAGACTTGACACAGCTTTGAGAAATTTAGGGATTTCAGGATTTAATTTGGTTGCCAGAAGATCTATATCCTATGATTGTTTCATGTGTCAGCTAAACCGGTATTACGGCCGTCACAATGGTCATTCTCCCTGTGGCGTCCTTGTCCGGCACAGAATACAATGCCAACACGAGAATCGAATGCGCGCGCTCGCGCGCTATCGTTCCGGGGTGATCGTTCGGATGGATAGCACACTAAAGATGATTTCTTTTGATCTCTAATCCAAGATAAACCACTTCAATCAGCCATCACGAAAATGGGCTTAAGTCACGTGTCTCTGTATGATTGACTCCCTTGTTCTTTATCTGGGCATGGAATCGGAGGTACGATCTATTCAGCCTGTTCGAACTGAGGCGACTTATTCCAAAATATCTTCTCTCGAATCTGAGTTTGACCACATCCGTAATGTCAAGACCGATGAGGCAGATTTCTCACCGGATAATCGCATTCTCTTAATACTACTGTGTGCCAACTTTCTCAAGGTTACTCTTCACATAGGCGTTGAAAACCGTACACGTTTTTCTCTTATTAATTCGCAAATTAATTTGGACTAAAAGGCTCAGTTTGCATTGTCCATCTACAGGAATCCCCGCAGTGATGGCACTGTCTTGGGCAATCACGAAACTTATCAAAGGGGAACCGGAAGAGTAAGTTGGCTAAATTGTGTTCTGTCTCGAGTTCAATTCTTTTCCATGCAAATGCATCTGCAAGTTTACCGAGAATTGAGTATAGCAAATGCGAATTATACTGACCAACTGCGGTTGAAATATTTTAAATAACGTTTTTTCGGGACTGCAAGTTCAATGTTATTTGTAGTCGATCAAATAGCCGATTTGTTTCACTTCGAATTTTCCTTTTTCCATAACAAGAAGATAATGGCTTAACGTATTGGTTTCTGAAAAAAAACGCTATTGACGAATTCAATAGGCGTTAAAAAGGGCATTCTCTTTTGTGGTGAAATATTACTTTCAACGTAAATTATTTTTAAATTGTAAAAAGTTCAGTGTAACTTCGGTCGGATTCGAACCCAGGCGCGGGTGCAACCTATGCTTTTGTACAGCACATCACTACCAGCACCAGTAGAGCTACGAGGCTTCAACGACAGAGCACTGCTCTTGTCACATTCAACTTACTTTGATCGGTCAAAAAACATATTGAATAAATTATTTTTGGGGAAAAGATCAGGATGAGTTATAAATTAACGATCTATCATCTTGTCCTCATTCAGGGAGACGAATCTGATATAAGTACTCATCAACAGTTACACGATGCCCATTGAGCTTACCGCGGTCAAAAGCTAAGCAATTAGACTTGATAGGGAAACTATGGCAGTTCAATGACATTTTATTGTAATGCGCTCGTGATAGTCAGATAACCCGGGACCGAGAACTGCATCCTATGTTTGAGACAAACTGTGGTGCAAGAACGCACGTGTGAAACATTTGGGCACAAAAATGCACTCATTACGTTTTATATTGGAGAACAGATTTTGGGATATTTCAAGGTAAAAGTCCTCTGATACATTGATTTGGGGATAATATCAAAAAAATGCACATTTATCTCGAATATTATAAAGACGAAAGAAACTTACTGGTTCAGTGATACTCTGCCAGTGGTGATCAACTCTTCCATACTGTTTCGGCCTTCGAACAACGGACCTGGTCACCGCGAAACGCAACCAGTTTAGACCGTTCAAATCAATTAACTGGATTGCATCATACTTCCCCTCAAATTGAATTCCCTCAGGTTGTGTGAACATTACAGTAATGAATTGCGTTTGACCAGCGAACAGGATAGAACAGAAAGGATAATCTCTTGGTATTAAAATAGGATTATATCCTAAATATTGGTGGGTTCAGTTGACTAAATGTGAGTGCCATTTAAGGTCGTATACATTGTACCACATTACTGTACCCCTTGTTTACGCATAGACATGTTACGCTAAAGTTTATATTATACATATGGCCTCTTAGCTCAACTGTTAGAGCCATGCGCTGTACAAAAGCGTAGGCGGTGTCCATGCGTGAGTGGTCGAACCTCACCGAGGCTACACCGGACTTTTCACAATCTCAACTTATTATACATATGTTAGCAATACCATACTTTAATTAGCCTAGACTAGTAGTAATACCGGAATGAGGCAAACCAGGTTTGATGATGCGGAAATTGAAGGATTATTTGGTGGCCCGAGCGGAAACATTTGTTTTTTTTTTGTTTCATGCCAACTCGGTTGGGCACGGAAGTCTACCGTGTATTATCCAATTGGTTCAATTGGTTACATGCTCGTTCGTTCACTTGTTCTGTTTTTGTATTTTGTTGTTTTTTCTCCACAGAGAATGGCAAAATCCAAGTTTGAAAGATCCTGAGGGAAAAACAGTTCTCTATTCCATTCTTGGAATGCTCGCAGTAAGTCATCTGTCCTCGTGTATTATGTATGATCCAGTATTACTCTGGCATATCTTGGCATCTGACGATGCCATTTTCCCATTTTGAATAGACACAATTTGGTAGAACCCAAGCTAGTGAGCTTGGTGCGGGCATTGTGTCCCGCTCATCTCAGCACTAGCTTCCAAAGTAGTGACTCTGTTGGAAACTTCCGCTACATAACTAATGGTTTGTTGTATGAGAAATGCTGTGATCAGCTGCTCCTAGGTGGCCTGTTCTACCTGTGAAATCCCAGGTACGATCCCCGGAAAGACTGATGGATTCACGGAATGCGGATGAAAACCAATCAGGTCGAAAGAGTTGTCTAGTGTTTTTCAGCTCCCGCTTCATATACGTGACCAATTCATCATCTGATCATATCAAATCCTCCATTACTCTCATACAACAATGAGTATCTCAGATTGGTAAATTCACAATCACAATTCAGCGCACTTACAGCAAATTATTTTTATATCCTGCCTGTATTTGATTCCCAGAAAATGCCCACACCTAGTTGGGTAAGTACCTTGTGAGTGAATTTGAACGTCTTTCCCGCTCGCGTTCAATCTTCACCAGTTCGAAGAAGAGCTTGTTTTTTATGAAACACTGGTTTTTACACAACCAACATGGTCAAACCATGGTGAACCATACTTGTATGCCTCTAGTTCCCTTTAGGAAACTTTAAAAAAGCGGAACAAGCATCATTACTCAAGTTATCTCTTCAACTGTGTACAAACACTCATTTGAAAGTTTTCAATCAGACCAATGAAATCAGTCTTGTCCTGCCATGCGACTGCTTCCTCCGGGATTCTCCCCCTTCACTCTTTCTCTGTCTCTGTTCAACCCAAGTGTGGCTAATGACCCTTGACAGTCGCGCTGATTTTGCTTAATCCATTTTTTTGCTATTTCCAGAGATGTGTGATAGTTCCGATCGAACTTCCACATTGGTGTGAGACACTAAAATCACATTTGTGATTAGTTTGAGCTCATTTTCCCGTCTGTTGTGCATGCAGCTGAGTGTCATGTTCAAAGTGTCGGTTCAGTAGGTACCGTTCGCGGATATCGGTTATCCGCGGAATGGCAGTACCAAGTATGGCAATAACAAAGATTCAGGAACTAGGAGAAACGACGTACCGAAGAAAATTGTTCTCATCACATTACCCTCTAAAGACGATCAGACGGCGAAACTATCAGGAAGTCGGCTGAAACAAGCTTTTTGGGGAACGCACAACGCCGCTTCGCTAATTATTCCCCATAAAAGCAGACGAATGATCACTGAGTCCAACTTGGACCAGCTGAACTCTCGAATTACCTCCTCCTGTGTTTACCTATTTCAATCCACTTACGGTAGAACTGAGGGGCGCTTGGCCACTCGGATTTTAGAACCCGTCCCGAGAAATTTAGCGGTCAATGACTCGAAGAGTCCCTTCAGCTCTGTTGCCTGCCATAGATTGGATTGCAAATTTTGCACCGATCCAAAGGAAGTATTCCGAGATTTAAACTAACAGAAAACTGGGCGGTTGTGTTACGGTTCGCTGAGGCCTCTGCAAACACTTAGACTTTATGACTTTGTGTAGGGCTGTCACCATGATTCCCATCGACAAACAGGTTCTCCCGCACTTTTCCTCTGTTCAACCCGAGTGTGACTGGTGACTTTCGACCTTCGCATTGATTTTGCCTAGTCCAGTGTTTTTGATGTTGAAACAGCTGTCATTTGTTTTGATCGAACTTTCACGTGAATGCTTCTGTGCACAGCTGAAGAGCTAAAGAGTTGAATTCAACCTGTTGCTGAGTGATGATGCTTGTTCTCGCTCTTATGATTCATAATTGATATAGACTGTACTACCAAATGTGTTCATCTTCTGTCCTCACGTTCGATGGTGACAGTTTTGTCAGGTTTTAATGTATCTTCTTGTTCTTTGTTCCTGTCACACACACAAGTGATAACCACGAATTTCCATTGTTCTTCGTCCTGCAACAGATCAACCTTTGTTTCACCTTGATCACTGTCTACACACTGCTCCGGAAAGTTCATTGCCGAACAGGGAGTAGTTTGAACGGCGTCGGGAAACGGAATGTTCGGACCCCAATGCCGACACGCGATTCTGTCTCACAGAACAAGTCGTACAGTCGAGCCTCGACGGAGAAAACAATGGAGCTGGCTGAATTACAACAGACTGTTCAAAGCAGCGGCCCTACTGGTGTTCACGACGAGTGTAAAACTGGGTTCCCTGCACGCAGTGGCGTTGCGTCCACATCTGTGATGCGTTATTTCACCGCGTACGGGAAACACGACAGTTTTGAGCAAGATGAACAGCACTCATCCAGACTGCCGAATGTGGTGGACACAACAGCCGATCCGCAAACGGATTCGTTCGTATCGTCAAACGGGTACAGAAAATCGCCCAAAGCATTATCTTCCATGCAGACTAGACGAACTGGTGAATCCTCGTTCCGAAACACAGGTTCACTTTTTGAACCCTGGTAAGTGTTGTTTTCTTCGTCCACAATGAAAGAATAGCAAACTCCATACGAGTCGAAAGTGTGTGCTGTAGATGTTGCACTTAAAAATAGCCACATATTTACGTGGGCATAGTTCCGCGAATCGTCAGGTGAGGGAATTCAACCGCATTGCGCAATGCGCACTCCATCAGAACCAAAGTAAGCAGTATCTTAATGAAGGAAAAAAACAAAGAAAATAATATCCCCGTATGTGTCGTTTCCGTGTCGTAAACGGGTCGCGTCTCAAAATGATTTCCATCTCAGTTAGTTGTTCGGTTACGCGATTGAAAACGAGACTCATGAGATTTTATTTCTGCTTTCGTTTATCAAACACCCTTTTTTGAAAAAGTCTTTCAGTATTCAATTGCAATGGAACTATTTGGGATGACCGACACAGAGAACAGTGGACAGTTGTTTCGTTCTGTTTGGGACTCGTCAGCAGTGTGCGCGCATTTCGTGTCCCCGTGTCAGCCAGCACTCGAACAGCGAACAAAGGGGTTGAACCCTTACCCCTAAGCTACGCGATCAACGGTCGTCACGTTGTGTGAGTGGTTCAATCAAATTAGACGATGAATGTTTGGGTTAGCCTATTCGATTGTTGTTGGTTTTTTCACAGGCACTGTTGATGATCTTCGGCACGGGTTTCACTCCTTGGAAGCTTGTGAATTCTCATCCGAAGTGTCTTGGCTGGTCCCTCTGAACAATCCAGAGGGCTAATCCAAACGAGCTAATCCAGATAGTGGTATTTGGGGGGCACGAAACGAGTAGAGACAAAATAAACGGTTGTTTTCCGGTGCGTGCCAAATCATTGAAATCATAACTGTAAACATTAGAGGACCACCAACGATAGTCGTGGTTTTCTGGCCAGTAATATGACTCTCTAAACATACGATCACGTCATCCCTCCAGTAATGCCTAAACTACCAAGGTTGACAAAAACTGAACTGATAATAACTGAAATTTTGTTGAAATAAGCCATACATATTAAAAAGCACTCCAATGAACTGGACTCCTTCACCAAAGAAAGAACTCTGTGATCTTACCACAGTCATTCGTGGCCTTAAAAGAAACAAGCAATTTGTACGTGTATACATTGAAGTGTGACTAATGTTTAAATCGTCCCAGAGTGATTGTTTTGTTTTTTGTAGCCAAATTAACACTGCTACAAGGAGGATTGTGTTGATGCTAAAGGTTAACTGAGTGGTCACGTGCGGGACTTACATTCCTAGAAAAACCCGGGCTTAGTCTGTCACAAGCTCGATCGCATATGGATTACTACTGATATTTTTCTCAGTTTCCTTTCTGACGTGCTAAACATGATCCGGATCGGAACCGGATCTGGTTAGGAACTCATCTTCACGTAAAAAAAATCATCAGTTCAGCCACGTGGGATGCATTGGAGTCCAATTGCTCTCTCTATCTCTCTCTGGTTTGGGCTAAACAGTAGTATATACCTACTATCCCGTCCAAGACGTCCACTATTTAGATCTCTGGCATGCAAGACGTATACAAATGTCACTACCGGCTTGCAACACAAATTACCACAATTACGTATTCGCGTTTCGTGAGATCCATTCAGTCAGTTATTTTTTCCCGATTGTTTGAATGCTAGTGTAGCCATGTTTGGTATGCGTTTTGCACCTTCAAATTGTAAAATGTTGCTAAAAGATTGAGTTGATCGAGCCTCCCCCAACTTACCCTGAAATAGGAAGTAGACAAATTTTGCTATATGGCGGATGCGTCCCCGATGAAATGTCGGCTCGGTTGACATTTGCCAACTTGCGACATCTGTGGTGCCCGCCGTGAAGGGTAGAGTATATGCTGAGGCAGTTCAGCCAGTCCTGCTATACGGTGCAGAGACATAGCCATTACGGGAACAGGATAAAAATAGATTGTCTGTGTTCGAATACCGTTGCCTACGTCATATTACACGAGTTTGGTGAGATAACCGGACGAGCGATGCGGAGATTAGGCGTAGAGTTTTAGATAAACGCGATCGTCCACCAGAGCAAGTATTCGACCTCCATGAATTACGCTGGTCGAGACATGTGCTACGCATGTCACCAAATAGGTTGCCACGGCGAGCGATGTTTGCCGAAGCAGGTAGCAGGTGGATAAAGGTCAAAGGTGGTCAAACTGAGACTTGGCATGTGGGTATGAAAACCCGTTAGGCTCCGTAGCTAGGGACCCCGAGATTATGGTCACCGAAGGTTAGAGACAAGGAGTAATATAGCTGGGTGTCGAAAACAGTAACGCTCATGCATCTATTCATTATTCTTACAACCCCAGTCTTTATGAATTCTCTATCTTCCGCTTGAATTGACTCTCAACACTATAAAATTCATTTTGTTCTTTTATCCAAATGAGCGACCTAAACACAGGAACAAAAACAGGGGCACGAAAGTGAATGCATTTTTGGAGTGACGGTTATCGAAAATCTCCGTTATCAGTGCAGAAAAGTTTGCTATATCCGAATTGGCGTATGCAGGAGATCAACAACAATGCGCTCAATAATCATACCCCTTCCAACTCGTTAGGCGGTGTAGATATTTAATTCTTTTGACAGGTAAAAAGAAATTCATTAGAAAACTGGCTCAGTAGATCAGCTTCAACAATATGCTGAATTACTCGTTGGCCGCCAGTGAGATAAACCCATTGCCAAATCGGCGGGTGACGTAATTTGAATTTGTTGGTCAACCCAATACGCGCTATGCTTTGTTGGGCGTTCGATAACAGCTTTATATCACGTGGTCTCAGCTGCATTTCAAACTGAGCTATCACTTTCCAAACGAAATCGTGGGGATAAATGGCTAATCAGCCCGGACTATCATCCAGATTGGATTTGTGCAACTATTCTCTGCTGAAATCAAATACAACTATCATCTTACTCTGCTATGGCCAGTTTTCTCCCTCTCAGTTTATGTCTTGATGAAGAAATTTCGTTGAATATGCAAAAAATTGGACTTATGTTCACATAGAAGCGCTTCCACAAGATATCAACTGAGCCAGCAGATTCATGCGCTTCTCGTTTTAGCTGCTTCTCGGCTTTAATTATATACCAAAACCTTTTGGTGACACTACAGGACGCTTATTCAACGAGCCGCACATCTCAAGGTCAACGTTCGAAGATCAACTTGTGTCTTTCTTGGACTAAGTTTTCAGTTCTTCCAGTATTGGAGATAATGCGTGAGTAGTTTGTAGCCTAATAATTTAGCAATTTATTAAAGTTAGAATATTTTCAATAATTTGCTTATTTACTGTGCACTGAATGAAAAGAGAATAGAAATTTAGAATGCGTGTGCTCAACCTAATAGAAACTCTCATAGGACACGAATCATCT